AGCAATTGTATCCTCTGCTTCTTCAAGGATCGTGTACCCTAGATTCACTGTCTTCTCTTCTCTGTTTTCTTAAATCGTTACTTCTTTGTTGATAATTCGAAAAACGAATCAGTAATCACGAGTCTTCAATTGATATTTGGTTCGCCACTGGCTGTTTTGACACTTTTGTTTTCAGTATTATCGAACCCATATTTTGTTATGTTGATTTGATTCATCTTCTCGAATGTTCAATTTCAGTTTTAGGGTTCTGAGATGTTAGATATTGCTTTCTTATGTCTCTTTGTTTGAACCGTTTCTGCTGTTCTCGAGTCTTACATGCGTGTGTGTTCGTTTCTTGAAACATTCGTAATGCTTTTCAATTGTATGTAAAGCTAACTAAGTATTTTTGGATCTGTTGTATTGTAGGCAACTCTTGAAGATTCTTTCCTTGCAGATCTTGACGAGTTATCTGACAATGAAGCAGAACTGGTGAGTGTGTTAACCAATTTGATTACCATCGATTATCGTGTTTATTTTGATATATTACTTCGTTCATAATATTTACTTGGTGGAGCTATGGTTTAATTGTAGTTTGGTCGGTTATTCATATTCAGGATGAGAATGATGTTGATGCTGGAAAGGAGGAAGAAGATATTGACATGGACATGGCTGACTTAGAGACCCTTAACTATGATGATCTCGATAGCGTTTCTAAGCTACAGAAAACTCAGAGATATGCTGATATAATGCAGGTCAGTCATTGTGCCCCTTTTCTAGCTCTTTGGATTTAATTGAATTTTGGCAATATCTTGGATTTAATATCTTGTTGGCAATTTTGACTACTTTTCTTTCGTTCGTTGATGGATGTAGGCGAGTATTCTGATCTGATTATATGTTTGTTCCTTTTTTATATTTCAGAAAGTGGAAGAGGCTCTCGGAAAGGAATCTGATGGAGCGGAGAAAGGAACTGTACTAGAAGATGATCCCGAGTACAAGCTAATTGTGGATTGCAATCAACTCTCAGTTGATATTGAGAATGAGATTGCCATTGTCCACAACTTTATCCGTGACAAGTACAGACTTAAGTTCCAAGAGCTTGAGTCGTTAGTACATCATCCAATCGATTATGCTCGTGTTGTGAAAAAGATTGGCAATGAGACAGATTTAGCAGTTGTTGATCTGGGAGAACTTCTTCCATCTGCTATTATCATGGTTGTTTCAGTTACTGCTTCAACCACGAAAGGGAACCCACTGCCAGAGGATGTACTGCAAAAGACGCTAGACGCTTGTGATCGGGCTCTAGAGCTTGATTCTGCGCGGAAGAAGGTTCTTGACTTTGTTGAAAGTAAGATGGGATCTATCGCACCAAATCTTTCTGCCATTGTTGGGAGTGCTGTTGCAGCCAAGCTCATGGGTACGGCTGGAGGTTTGTCAGCACTTGCAAAAATGCCTGCATGTAATGTTCAAGTTCTTGGTCACAAGAGGAAAAACCTTGCTGGGTTCTCTTCTGCAACGACAGTGTCTCGTGTGGGTTATCTGGAGCAGACAGAGATTTTCCAAAGCACGCCTCCTGGACTTCGGATGCGCGCTAGCAGGCTCTTGGCTGCAAAATCGACTTTGGCAGCAAGAGTTGATGCTACGAGAGGAGACCCATCGGGAACAAATGGAAAAGCTTTCAGGGAAGAGATCCGCAAGAAGATTGAGAAGTGGCAAGAACCTCCTCCTGCAAGGCAACCTAAGCCACTTCCTGTTCCTGATTCTGAGCCTAAAAAAAGAAGGGGTGGTCGCCGTCTAAGAAAAATGAAAGAAAGGTAAACTTTTTCATCTTTCATTATAACTCTATTAGGCAGTATTTATCTTACTGCATTCTTACCTTTCTCGTTATATCAGATATGCAGTGACAGACATGAGGAAGCTTGCCAACAGGATGGCGTTTGGTACACCCGAAGAGAGCTCTCTAGGTAAAATATCTTGTAAATCTACTTGTTAACAGCCAGTTTTTGTAAGGCACTTAGTCTAATATGTGCTCTTGATGATGATAGGTGATGGATTAGGTGAAGGATATGGAATGCTTGGCCAAGCTGGGAGCAACAGGCTGCGCGTATCCAGTGTTCCGAGCAAGCTGAAACTTAATGCTAAAGTCGCCAAAAAGTTAGTGGTTCCTTCCATTTCTCTTGTGTTTTTGACTTTTCCTTTGTTCATTTCCTTACCTTATAATGATCCTGTCCTGTTCTTCATCATATCTCCTGTGCGTCCTCGTTGTGATTATGTTTATCAATGGATTTTCAGGCTGAAAGAAAGAACATATACAGGTGGTGCTACGACCTCTGGTTTGACATCAAGCCTGGCGTTCACTCCTGTGCAGGTACAAACATTTAATTCGACCTTTGTCTTACGTGATCCGTTTTGTCTCTTTCTGACTTTGAAAACTTGAATTGTATGTTGCAGGGAATAGAGTTGTGCAATCCTCAGGCTTTAGGGTTAGGAAGTGGGACTCAAAGCACTTACTTCTCAGAGTCAGGAACCTTCTCCAAGCTCAAGAAGATTTAGAAAGAGAGACTTGAAGCCGAGCACTGCTTACTTACTCTTGGGGATTTATCTTAGAAAACGATGGTGTAAGTGAATCAAGACACAAAGGTAGAAAGTGGTGTTTTTACTGCTTTTTCTATTTCTCTTTAAGCTTGTGTCACTCAAAGAGACAAAGACACTGTTTGGTACGGTCTATCTCCCGGATCACTTTTAATGGTACCACCAGACCTCAACCTTGACCCTAGTGTATGATATTTTAAGATTCTCAGTATAAGCTTGTTCGATTTTGGTTTTTTGGGTTGGGTTTGAGTTTAAAGTTAGGCTTCTTTGCACACAAAAATTTAGGTTTTGGAATAATCGGCATTTAAAATGAATTGGTTGGTACGTTTTCTTTTGTACTCGTAATAATCAAATATAGTAGTTTTGGTGAAAGTGAAAGTACCCCACTGATAATTAATAATGTCATGATTGGTCATCCAATTTACACGTTTGATTTTTCTGTTAGAAATTAGCACCGTCCACTGTTTCCTGCAAATTCTATCTTGGACCAACAAAAAAAAAAAACAAATGGAGAACTCTAGAAAGAGCACAGTCTCGAGTCCAAATCAATAAAAAAAGACCTGGAAATATCTTTTTTCGAGCCAGTTTCTAATTTACCAATTATACAGTTATCACAAAGGACGATATTATTAATGGCAAATTATAAAAATTGGTTCGGAAATATTTTTAACGAAAATCATTTCACTCGTCTGTCTAACACAGAATAATACAACAATTCAGAAATTTAATAATTAGATCAATGAAAATATATTAACTTCATTAAACAGACTAATTTATGGATCAAAAATTTTAGAGCATCTCTAATGCAACATTTTTAAAAAAGAATTAATGAGGAGAGAGAAGGAGAAGAGTCTTCTTGTTTGAAAGACTCTCAAACATTTGTGAGATACTGCATTTCTAATTGGCTTGGCT